TTTAATAAGAATAATTAAAAATATTACTTCTATTAAATAATAAAAAATTGTTTAATAAGAATAATTAAAATATTATTTTTATTAAATAATAATGATTATTTGATTAAAATAATTTAATTATCATTTTTATCAAATGATAAAAATTATTTAAATAGAATAATCAAAATTATTATTCCTATTAAATGATAAAAATTTTATTTGATTAACATAATTAAAATCTCATTTTTATCAAATGATAATAGTATTATTTAATAGAAATGATTAAAAATAATAGTTTTATTAAATAATAAAATATTGTTTGATTAAAATGATCATATTATTATCTTTATTATTAACATACAATCTTTTTAAGTTATAACTGTTAGATGCAATATTAAAAGGTTAATATTTTTATAGTTTATATGATAAAATTTATAATTAAAAATTCATTTATATATTAAAAAATATATTTAATATATAATTCATATACTATACAGTTAAAGCTGATTATAACAAACCTCTTTATAATAAACACTAGATATAACAAACTCATACTTTTTAAATTTTAATAATAATTTATTATAAAAAGTGTAATAGTTTATATAAAAAGCATAGTAATTTATATAATGAACTTTTTTTAACAGAACCGTCAGTTTGTTATAAAAAGCATTAATTGTATACTATTAAGTATATTCAATATATTATTAAGTAAATTTTTATATATTAAGTTAAAGCAAATATTAATTATGTTATTAATACAAGATATTATAAAGAAGTTTTAAGTAAATTAAAAATAGTTTATTGATAAATAAATAAACTAAAAGATTAAAATACTAAAATAAGAAATATAAAAAAAATAATCACAAGTAGAAAAGAGTAACTTTATAATATTTTTACAAAAAGAAGTCTATATATAGCTATTACTAAACTGATCAATTTATATTTAGCAATTAATATTTACTCTTTTCTATAATGAATTTAATTCTTTATATATATATTTAATATTATATTTTAATAAATCAAATATATTAACTATATTAAACATATTTAATATATTTAATATTTAATATATTTGTCATTTTTAACATTCAGTACTATATTACATTTATAGATCATATAATTATTAATCCTATAATATTGTTAAATAATATAAGAATTAATATATTTAAATTATTATTTTTATCAAATGATAAAAATATTATTTAATAAAAATAATCAAAATTATTATTGTTATCAAATGAAAAAAAAAAATCATTTAATAAATAACCAAAATATCATTTTATTAAATGATAAAAGTATTATTTAATAAAATAATTAAAATAAGACCTTAAATATTTCTCATAACTTATAATAACTATATTAAAATGTATTTTATTATAATAACTTAATTAATATTAATATTAGAAATATGATTTATTACTATTAGATTTTTTTTATCAAAATAATTCTAATGATATTAAGATTATCTAAATCTAATCACTCTAGTTAGCTTAAAATTGAAATATATAAGATAACAAATTTTAAAAATTTTTTTGTAATATGTAATTTTCATTAGAATTTGTATATAAACTCTATATAAATTCTAATCTAAGTTATATAATTAATAAATTTATAATAGTATCATATCATTAAAAAAAATAATCTGAGTTATATAAAAGATTTTTAGGATCCCTATTAAAATTATTATTTTTATTAAATGATAAAGTATTATTCAATAATAATAATTAAAATTATTATTCTTATTAAATAATAAAGTATTATTTAATAGAAATAATCAAAAATCATTTATCTATCAAATAATAAAAAAATTATTTAATTGAAATAATTAAAATTATCATTTTTATTGAATATTTAATTAGAATAATCAAAATATTATTTTTATCAAATAATAAAAATATATAATTAAATAAATTTGTAAATTAATCTAAAATTTATAATTTAGATCAGAATTTTGTGATTTAAGTTTAGTTTAAATTCAGATTAGCATTTTTAGAATTTATAATCTGAATCAAATTAAATTGAAATTTGAATTTAATTTGTATTAACTTGTAATTTGAACTAAACTAAATTTTTCAGAATATTGGTTTAAGTAAACTTTAATATATTGATAAAGAATAAAATTTCTTAATAATAATCAAAACTAAGATAAATGATATTAAAATATAATAAATTATATAAAAATCTTTCTGATATGAAAAAATTAAAATATTAAAAACATAAAAAAAATTATTATAAAATTATTTTAAGGGATATTAGCAAGCATTTATAATTTGATAGATTTAAAATTACTAAAATTTTAATTTTATTAAGATTAGTTTAATATTTACATAATAAATAATATTTTATATATTTTTTATTATAATTTAAGTATTTTAGTCTAAAAAAATTATATTTAGTAATCTAAACAAAGTTATTTTATAGGTTTAAATTACTTATATCTTAATTTCTATTAAAATTAATTTTAGTATTTATAAAGTAAATAAATTAATTAAAAATTCTTATTTTATTTAAATTTAAATTGAATAAAATGTAATTAGTATTATTAGTTAAATTTTAATCAATTTATATAATGTTTATTTAACTAAATTAAAGTAAATATTTAGACAGATTTTTATAGTTAAATTTATAAGGATAAGTAGGCTGAAAATATAAATAACACAAAAAGAAGTTCAAATTAGACAGGAAGATAACACAATCTAAACTAAGTTACACTCTAATTTATATAAATTAGAATATAATTTTATTAAATATTTTATTAATTTAAAAATTTTTAATATTATATACTATAATATAAATAAGGCATAAATCTTATATTTAGTAATAAATTTATATATATAATTAATAAATATAATATCTACAATTAATATAATTTAAAATCAATTTCTGATATTATATGTAATCACTGATTAGAAATGAAATGGCGTCATTTCTGGTCTTATGCATATTGGAGATTTATAATAAAACTAAAATAATTGATCGGCATAAACGTTTAAACCTGGTAAATCCATTCATTTATAATCTACACTGAATTTGTCATTAAAAAGAATGATAAACAATGAATTTGTAATCAAAGCGATCGGATATGAAAAAGTTATATATAAAAAGATTTAAATGGGAATTAAATTTCACGAAATTCAAATCTAAAATTTTTTATCAAATTTAAAAAAATGGCCGGTACTTTATCTAGAAATATTGCAAGGTCTTTTTTCGCCAAGGTAATGAATGACTGATATTTTCAAAATATAACCAACTTTTAAATAACTTTTATGGTCGTTTCAAAATTAGAGTCAACCAGAAGGAGCGGGCGCTACAGTTCGAAGATGCATAGGTGGATCAAGAACTTTAGATCCATTTTTGATGTGCGATATATTTGAAGTTGTTCCACCTGCAGGATTTCCCGATCATCCTCATCGAGGATTTGAAACAGTTAGTTATTTATTAGAAGGAGCAATTGCACATGAAGATTTTGGAGGGAACGTGGGATTGATTGGACCCGGGTACATAAATTCAATATATCCTTTTGAATTTTTTTTTTTAAAAAAAAAAATTCATATCGCTAAATTTTTCGTTCATTTACACACAGTGACGTTCAGTGGATGACCGCGGGTCGTGGCGTAGTTCATGCTGAAATGCCTGCTTCAAAGACGCCATGTCGTGGTATTCAACTTTGGATAAATTTAGCACGAGAATTCAAAATGATTGAACCTTCTTACCAAGATTTAAAAGATTCGGAAATTCCAAGAGCGAAACCCGAACCTGGAATTGAAGTAAAGATCATCGCAGGAGAAAGTTTCGGAGTAAAAAGTACAGTATTTACTAGAACTCCTACAATGTTTATGGATTTTAAACTTGAAAAAGGAAAAAGAGTTGAACAAAAAATTCCAAAGGATTATTCGGGATTCATTTACGTTTTAAGTGGGAATGGTTACTTTGGTGGAAATCAATTTAAAGGCGAAGAACATCATGCATTATTTTTGGAGAATGACAATGGAGATCATTTACCCATAGAGGCAAAAGATACAGATTTAAGGTTTATGCTGTTTGCAGGAAAACCATTGAAGGTAAAGTTATAACAAATTTGTATTCACAACACAAAAAAAAAAAAAAAAAAAAAAAAATTCAAAAAAATTCAATATTTTATTTAGGAACCTGTGGTGAATTATGGACCTTTCGTTATGAATTCAGAAGAAGAAATATTTCAAACAATGTCTGATTATGAAAAAGCTACAAATGGATTTGAAAAAGCAAAAAAATGGCGATCGTCAATTTCCAATGGGGTTACTAAACTATTACAATAATTTTATTTATAAGTGGGGGAAAATCACAAATTGTTTATATTTAGTCATATGTGATTCACAAAAGATTAACGAACTCTAATTTAATTTTTTTTTTATCGATAAGATCGCAAATTAAATAAAAATTTTCCGAAATTATTTTTGGGAATTATCTTTGACGTTTTGTCATGATTAGCCGGATTAGGATTCGGAACTTAGAATCTTTTGATCCGAAAGATAATTTACAATTGTGATATTGCATATTTAATAAAGGAGATTATTTAATAAAATTATTTACCAAAGTAAAATTTCTTTTCGAATTCGTTTAAGCCTGTTATAAACGAATAAGGTAGTAACCGATTTTCACTTTAAGCAGCGTAATATCCCAGTGACTTATCCTGTTTGAGTTCGAATAGCCACTGTATAATGTGATTGGGTCATCTAAACTATAAAAAATAAAAAGAACTAAGCTTCAAAAAATCCTTTTTCCACTTGCCTAATATCAGAAATGTATACAATGTATACAGACTAGAAATTCTACGAAATTTCAAATTCAAAATAATAAACAATTTGTTTAATCGATTATTTTTTGAATATTGTCTCCTTAAAAAAATTTTTTTTTTTTTTTTTTTTTTTGAAAATTCTTTATAAATAATACTTGACATTTTTTTCATTCGGTTCATTTATGACCGAAACAATATCTTAACTATACGAAAAAAAAAAAAATATATAATAATAATCGTCAATATGGTTGATTTAAAATCGACTGCTTCGATATTGAGTTATGAGAAAAATCTTGAAGAACAACACAAACGAGCAGGCCGGGTATGACAAATAAGAAGAATCGTTTTTCGCAAATCTCTTTAATAGCTCTAATTGATGATAATATTTTCAGAGCGTTGGAGTCATTGCTACATTATTCATGTCTTTTAGAACTTTAGGTATTTTTACACGTGACTTTGTATTTAAAGATAGTCCGATCCAAATTTGGCGAATTTGCTTAACCAAAAAAATATAATCATCACAAGGTATTATTTATGGAGATATTGGCACATCTCCCTTATATGTACTTTCGGCAATTTTTCCTGATCCACCTGAAGATGCCCGTGATGTTATCGGTAAGACCCCACTTTACAGACGAATATAATTTTTTGATGTATTAATTATTATATTGATTCTCTATAGGCATTTGTTCTTTAATTTTCTGGTCATTGGTATGTGTCGCATTTCATTTAATTCTCTTTTATTTTTTTATTTTTTTTTGACCAGTTTCTTAAATATATTTAATTATGTTATCCATAAGACTATCGTGCCAATGATAAAATATGTTTTCATTGTTTTGAGAGCAGATGATAATGGGGAAGGTGGCACGTTTGCCTTTTACTCAATATTGAACAAGTAAGGCAATTCTGTTTTGCTAAATTAAAAAATCTTTATACAATCAATTCTAATTTTACATGTGATTATAATGATTCAAGATATTCGGGTTTAAGTGTAAACGGCGAGAGTAGATCAGATGATAATTCAATTGTGAGATACGATACCAGCTCAACCCATAGCTTCAAGCAACCAAATTTTATAGCGCGTTCCAAACTTATACAAAATGCGTTGCTAATCATTGTTTTATTTGGTGCATCCTTGGTAATGAGCGATGGACTATTAACCCCAGCTGTGTCTGTAATATCCGCAGTAGAGGGAATTGCAATTAAAGCCCCATCGTTAGAAACATACATAGTTCCCATCAGTTGGTAGTAAATTAATTTTTAAATCTTTTATACTTTTTGTGTAAAAAAAAAAAAAATTGAATTCTGATTCAAAAGTTTATTTTGTATTTTAAAGCGCGATCATCGTTCTATTGTTTTTGGCTCAACGATTCGGCACAAACAAGGTCGGGGATTGGTTTGCCCCAATCGTTTTCTTGTGGCTAGTGACGATCGCATCTACTGGAATATGGAATATTACAAAACATCCAGATATTTTGAGATCATTCAATCCATATAATATCTTTGATTACTTTATTCGCAATAAAGGGTTGGGATTCAACAGTCTCGGTGGGGTTTTGCTATCCATAACGGGAGTTGAAGCCTTGTATGCTGATTTGGGTCACTTCAATCGCATTTCTATCCAACTTTCTTTTCCGCTCTTTGTTTATCCTACGTTGACCTTGGCTTATCTTGGACAGGGCGCCCGTATAATCTTGGATCCTTCCATTGTCAAACCAAACGCATTTTGGAATTCAGTACCAGATAACGATTTGGTTTATTGGATAACTTTTGTTTTTGCTACTCTGGCAACGATTATCGCTTCTCAGGCAATGATCTCTGCCACATTCTCATTAATACATCAAGCGGTGCAACTGGAATGTTTTCCGAGAGTTAAAGTAAGTTCTTTAACCTTGATATTTTTTCCCTTGAACGTTATAAACTATGATTTGATTTGAAATTTTTAAATTTTTATTTGAAGATCATACACACTTCAAAGATTTCAGAAGGACAAATTTATATTCCCGAGGTAATTTGTTTAGAAATTATTCACGTAAAAGATGAGGAAAAAAAAAAAAAAGAATAAAATTGACTTGCAACCTTTTTTTTTTTTTTTTAAATATTTTATAGATTAATTACTTCCTTATGATAATTATTGTGATAATTTGTATTGTTTTCAAAGAATCCGCCAACCTAACTAACGCTTACGGGGTCGCGGTTGGTTCTGTGATGGTCATTACAACAATTCTGATATCTATAACAATTTGCGTTGTTTGGAAACTTCCGATAATATTATCTATAACTTTCCTATTGATATTTGGTATAATTGATTTATCATTCTTGATTTCTACCCTTCGTAAAATTCATGAAGGTGGTTGGTTTACACTTTTATTGGCGATTATTATTTGTTTGATTATGATTATTTGGAAATGGGGTTCGCGCCTCAAATTTCAACACGCGTTAAAGTCAAAAACGAAACTTGAACACATTTTTGTTAACGACGACGAACCAGATAAAGGGGATGAAGAAATGATAGAGAAAGATGTTTCGATTGACCCAAGTTCTAAAATAGCAATCGGTGAAATGGAGCCATCAAATGAACTGGTAGATGGAAATTCAACCACCAAAGAAATGAATTTTGGTGAAATAAAAATTCGAAAAGATGTTAATAAAAGTCAAATACGACTCGCGAGCAGTGGATTTCAAGTTAGTAGATTACCGGGTATTGGAATGTTTTACAATGAAGTGGGATTCGGTGTTCCACTTACATTTCGACACTTTATACAACATTTCCCGGCGGTACCACAAATTCTCATATTCATTACAATACGTCCCGTTGCGATTCCATACGTGGGTGATGACGATCGCCTGGTCGTGAGAAAAGTTAGTAATTATGACGGTTGTTATAATATAATTGCCCGTTATGGTTATATGGAGAAGATTTCACAAGGACAAGAATTTGTGAAAAAGATGCTCGAATCAATTCATAAATTTGATCCCACTCATGAAGGCCTATTGGAAAAGTCAAATCATGTGACATATGTAGTTGGTCAACAACACCTTCACCCTAAATTAAATGCTTCTTGGTTGAAAAGATTATTAATTTATTGTTACGTCTTTTTAGTTAATAATTCAAGACAATTATACGGAAATTGGAACATTCCAATCGAGGATGTCGTTGATGTCGGCATGAAAATAACTTTATAACGAAACGTTTAAATTGTTTTAAATTTTATTTCTTAAATAAAGTGATAATTGTAATTAACGACTTTTCTAAAAAAAAAAAAGAAAAAGAAAAAGAAAAAAATATATATACTGTATATACAGATAATCGAGTTGATGATGATACAAAGCGAAATAATTTGAAAGTATTCAACTTTCACATGCTTATTTATTTTTCAATGTCACAGAACCTTCATTAGATTCAGTTTCAACAGAATTGGTTTCACGGTTAAGAGTTTCAAATTCTTCCGGATCCACAACTTGTAATTTCCCTAACTTGCCAATATCTCTATTAGTCTCTGCCGCTTTTGCGTTCTGAACTTTTTCTTTATCATATTTAGGCATATTATCAAAATATTCGTAATGTTCATCCAATTCCGCAAGTTCGTCCGTGGGCCTTCCCCAATTATGTTGACCACCTCCTTCCTATAAAGGATGACCATTGAGTTTTTTAAAGGAGGAGAAAAAAATTCCCTAAAAATAGATACGAAACCTTTTTTGGCATTCCTCTTGCATCCAATAATCCACTCCTAAAAAAATAGTTTTTAATTATTTAATTATTTTCACATAAAAACTGTTTTAAAATGATGATGATTATTATTTACCTTTGAAGATGACGGTCTTTGTTTTGAACAGCGGGAATGGCACTCTTGGCATTTCGTTTTGAACGAGTCATTTTTCTTTATGATTTTTACAATTGTTCAAATAGTAAAAGAAAAAAAGGTTGGGGGGAAGGGAATGAGAAAAGTGTATATTTATAAACATGGATTAATCACGCAAAATTATGTCGGATGGTAAAATTAATTCATCATAAATAATAAATCATTTGAGAGGGCGTTTATTAGTTTATTTTTGATAAGTAACAAAAATTGCTATGATATCGAAATTTCCTCATAGATTTTTCACGTGATCATCAATATAGACTAAAAAAAAAAAACGAACAATTTAATTTTAAAATGGTTTAGACTGAATGAGTTTGTTCCGTTATTTCTGCGGGTCGGTTAATCGTTAACTTGACGTTAAATCCTTGCTCTTAATAATATCAGTGATACGAAAGGAAGAAGTAAAATGATGATGCAATGATTGGTAATAACTAGTTATTTCGTACGACCAAAAAAATTTCATATATAAATATCCGTATATTTTAAATATAATATATATTATATTTGTATGCTTATATATTTTTTTTTATCAAAAAAAAAGTCATTCATTCCAAAAGTTCAAAAATGATTTGATAAGCGTTCTTCAGTTGTAACTAGAGTATGACGTATTACGTATTGGGTTCCCGGTTACATAAACTTCCAAATCTAGTCAAGATCGTGAATTTAGATAACAAATCACGTGATTTAAAGAAAAATTGTAAAAGAAATGAGATCATAATAATGTATTTATTGTATAGAATGAGTAATTAATTGAGAAATATGATTATAATAATGTAATTAAACGGAAAAAAGTATATAAACTTTAAATAAAATTATTAGATATAATGAAAATTAAATAAGAGATTTTATAAATTCAAAAATAATATTTTTGTATTTTTAAATAAATTATTTACTTAGATTATAAGGATTTGCAGGCAAATTTGCTTGCTAATTTAATTTATAATTATTTAAAATAACCTATAATAATAAAGGTAATATATTTAAAAAGATATTTTTTATTTTAAATCTTAATTTGTAATACAGTCAACTCTTTCTACAACGAATTTTGATATAACGAATTTTACAATACAACGGATTTTCAGTGTCAGACAGAT